AGGCCTGCCAAATGATAGGAGCTCACACGCGTCCATTTCCTGCAATAAATCATGCGAAGTCAGCTTGGGAAGAGAGCAATGACATAAGCCGGATTATTCCTGACAGTCACTCCAACCCATGGATTTAATGATGATTACACGCTTCATTTGATATAAAATGAAGAAGACCCCTTCATTAAGGGATTCGGCCATTTTTTACATTGGAAACTCTCTCTCCTCTCATGTAAACACATTTACTTTTTCCAACTCTTCTGTAAGTCAGTCCGCTTTTGCGACCTGACCCACACTAATATCAATACAAATCAGTGGACGTAGGACTTGCTACCTTAGCATCCGAACCACTTTAAAAACTCTCTTTACATTTATTTCATTGCAAATATTCATTATCACGTGTGTTTCTTAGCCAATCAACGTTACGCACGTGACAATTCGTTGGTGCCAAAATTCGAGCATCAACAATATTCATAGTTTTGCTTAAGATGTGAAACCTTTTAATATTTTATATTTCTATAAAATTATCAATTCTAAAAGCAATCTAAAAACAATAGTTTTATTCGCTTTAAATCTAAAAATATATGAGATATGAAATTAAAGGAGAAATATTAAGTAGCTTTGATAATTAATACCTTAAGTTTTAATTTACTTGTGAAATTATGAACTCTTATTGACCTAAATTTTTTATAATTTTGTTGTAACCTGCAATTTTTATTACAATTATACCCTCAGTTAAAATAGAACACGGGGGGCTAAAAAAGATAGTGAGGGTTAAGAAACATTTCCCTATTAGTAATTTTCTCTATAATTGGTGTAATTTTAAATTATTATTGTTTATTTTAAACGCTAATAATTTATTTTGTGTATTTTTTCTTAAACAAATTGGTTATATAATTAAAAATCTAAGTCTCTAAGACCCAAGAATACCCGAGACCGCTATGAGCAATGGCGGCCCAGCCGAAAGCCCAAAATCCAGAGACTTCATAGATTTAGAGCTTATTCAAATACATGGTATAAAAAATACGAATAAAATTTTAACAAAACATCGAGATTTTATTTGATGAAGATTAATGGACTATAGTTATACTCCATATAAATTTAGTTTTTTATTGGCCACCCTTATTTTCTAAACATAACATTTAGCTCCCGAAAATTTAACTTTGAATTTTTCTGGTCTGTCATTTAGTGAACATCACATTTTGGCCCTCTAAAAAAGGTTTCCGGCTCCTCCCCTGGTAATAGAGAGACATTTATCTCCTTCGCTAATGCAACTGCAACTGCAGTTTGACTTGAATAGATAGACATGGAATTGTTGGATCGGTCATTCAACTTGGGGACCCTCGGGACATTCAACCTTCTATCTCCTTCGCCGATACAATTGCAACTGCAATTTAACTTGAATGGATAGATGAGATAGACGAGAAAGATCACTGGTACAAATTGGGTGTGGAGGCTCTTCCCCAGGGTAATGCATGGATTGTGGAATTTGCTTACCAGAGGACCAAAATTTTTGAGAGGTTATGTTTTCTGCATCTCATAACTGGAACCATGTAAAAGCTGTCCAAGATGCTTAAAAGTAGCTGACTTAAGAATGATGTCATGGGTCAATTCCATAATGCCCTTCATTTGGAATGCCGTAGTTCTCGACAATGGAGTGCTTTATACAAGGTTGAGAAGAGGACAGAAAATATGGGCAATAGGATTAACTTTCAAAATCCGTTTCTTCCTTGATTTCAAATCGAATTGCGAACAAAATTATGCATCTAGATGAATCATCATCTATTTAGCGGAGAGCATTGGTGGCTGCAGATGGAATGGATTCTTCAACCGCTCTGACAATGCGGCCCCTTTCACTTCCAAAAAACAACTGTCATCTCCTTTGTATATTAATTTCTGTAATTTTAAATAGATGAATGCATAATGGAAAACTTAATGCCCAGTACAAGTAGAAGCCAACATTTCCAGCATGAATGATTCACCCAATGACCCAAAAAAATTACAGATGCAAATCAGAGAAAAATGATAGACTACGTACCATTTGATCCTAGCAAAGGTGAGCCCTTCTTTCGGTTCCAGTTGTCAATGTTTGGCACTTATGGCTTTACCATCCCACAATAAGATTTGTGGGGTAATGACCCTTAGAAATCTATATATCCATTTTTATCACATTCACATATGGTATCGCAACACAAGTTAGGACAAGACAGACCTCCACCGTAACACTATACCTCAATTATTGAAAAACTTTACTCATTTAATTTTGGCCCAACGACTTACACCCACCCAACATTTATCGTAAATACAAATTGACATCCCAAAAGGTTTGGAAATGTCAAACAAGTATTTTCCATCATAATCTATTAAGAATTTCCGTTTGCAAAAGGGCAGTATAATAATTTGATATAAGGAGCTTGACACGTGTCCCTAACAGTTGACTTTGTCAATAAAAAAAAGAGAAAACGGTGTCTTTTGGCGTTTTTCCGATCTTCGTTCTTTGTCTCTGAAGGAGCTGGAACGACTGGTCCGTTTGTTTTCTCTCTCTCTCTGGGGTTGGGAGGTTGGAGGTGTTTTCAATTTTTCTTGTTTCTGGAACCACTGGTCTGTTCGCTCTCTCTCTGTGGGGTTGGGAGGTTGGAGATGGTTCCTTTTTGGCTTGTGGGAAGAGTGTGAGGTATGGGTTTGGGGAGTAATTCGGGTGTTGGATTCGTTGGAGTGGAGATGTGGGGTGCTTTGTTAGGTGGCTGTTGTTTGCGTGGTGTTTGGGGGTGTTGTCCACGTTTTTATTTCTGTTTTTCCTTTGTTTTTATGGAACTGATCTATGTTTTTGCTATCTGGTTGTTGAGATTGTGGGCTGCCTGAGGCAGTTTTTTTTTTTTTTTTTTTTGTTATCTAGACTGCCTAGTTTTGTTTTGCTATGTTTCTGTGTGGGGAGTGATGATTGTTCATAGCTTGGTTGTGGTTGTGGGCATATAGAGAATTTTGGTTTGTGGTTTTTTTTCTTTCCAGGCCTTGGAGGACAGTAGTCATGTTGATTATTCTCCTTGGTTGGGCTGGTTTTCTGCACGAGGATGCTGTTGCTGGTTTCAGTTGTTGTCGAAGTGCTTAAACTTTGTTTTTTTTTTTTGTTTGGTGTGGTGGTGTAAGTCTGTATGTTTCGTGAAGTTGTTGCTCCATGGTGGTTGTTCTCTTCTTGCTGGCTTTTTATGTGTGTTGTCCTTTTTGAGGCGGTGTGTTGATCCTGCTCGTGTGGGTTTTTAGCCCTTTTTTGCTGCTGTTGTGAGTTCTCCAAGTGTAGAGTTTTTGCTGGAGCGTGATTGCTCTTTTTTTTTTTTTTTTTTTTTTTGTTGACGTTTTGTGCTTGAGTTTGTGGTCCTGCTCGAAGACTTTGTATTTTTTGTGAGTTGCTTTTTTTCTCTTCTTTGGTTTTGCTACGTTAGGAGGCCTTGTGCCTTTGTAAAGGTTTTTCTCCTCCTTAGTTGCTTTCGTTTTTGAATTATTGATCTTTAGTTGTTGAAGTCTTTAAATTGATTGATCATTAATTGCTGCTTAATCTGATTATATTGTACCTTCATGATGCAGCGTGTAAGTTTATGGGTTGACCCCCCGGTTAACAACACCATGTATCGATCTCATTATATAATGCTTTGCTGTAGTATTAAAAGAATATAAGGTCTGGTGGTAAATTTTGATGTTAAAATTAGACTGTGTCAGCTAATATATATTGAGGAATAGGCTGTATAGTGTAAAAAGCTTAATGGATTGATGATATGCTGTAGTTATGAAAAATGCTTTCAATAATTTATTTAGTTTAGGTACATTTGGCTATGAAGCCTATGATAGTATGAGTTGTGAATTGGTCATTGTGATTATAGTCTTTGCCCTGTGATTCTCCATATTTGTTTGGGTAGGCAGTAGTTGTGCATGGTAAATTTGTTTTGTGTTTTTATTTGTTTTTGTTCGTAAATCTTAATTTTATTTGATGTAGCTGTATTTCTAATTTCTGATCATCTTTTTGTTTGTTTATTGAAAACTATGGTGTATCTTTCTGTTTGTCTACACTTTTTCGAAAATAAGAATGGCAAAGCCCTTGAAGGAACTTGTCAAAATGCAACTCAACAAATACAATTGAAGATTTATGCAATATTTAGGAGTTAGGTGTAAATCTTAATTTTATTTGATGTAGCTATATTTCTAATTTCTGATCATTTTTTTGTTTGTTTATTGAAAATTATGGTGTATCTTTCTGTTTGTCTACACTTTTTTGAAAATAAGAATGGCGAAGCCCTTGAAGGAAATTGTCAAAATGCAACTCAGCAAATACAATTGAAGATTTATGCAATATTTAGGAGTTAGGTAACAGAAGCATCTTGGAAATTGCTTCTGTTTTTTTTGTAAATTTTCCATGTAAACAAATTTTGTTCTATGAATTCATAGATTTTGTTTATTTGTAACTTAGGAAGAATTTTATTACAAATTTTTTTATTTTGTATGAATGATTTCTTTTAAATCATGAAGAATTTCACTACACATTGCTTCAGCCACAAATAAGCAATTGTCTTCTGCTGCTTTATTTGTATACATTCACTTTGAAATTTTGTTACCAAAACAGGGACAAATTGGTCATTTGTTGTGTCTTTTTTTAACAAACTCATAGGGATAAACTGGTCATTTCATTAACTTATAATAACTTGATGGCATAATTGTAATTCACCATAATTGTGTGGGTATTTATGTAATTGAATTAGTTGACTAGGCATGAATTAATAAAAAATTAAAATAACAAACTTTTAAGAGTATTCCAGTCTTTTTTATTATTTTTGTCATTTAGCAAACAGAAATCTAACAGAATATGATGGAAGGTGTTTATTTGTCATTTTTAAACCTTTTGGGACCCACTTTATGACAAACTTTGGGTAGGTAACTCCCCCTTAAATTATTTAAGAAACTGAGTCTGAAATAAGAGTTTTTCACACCTTGCTTCGACGAGAATTCCCCCGGCTTTTTCAATGACTCCTATTAAAATTCGTTTTTCCCCTCTTCCTTCTAATGGTCATCAATGGCTTTTCCTCAGTTATAATCCTTCTTATGCCTATCATCTTCCTGCTGGTTATCGATTTGTTCCAACCGATAAAGAAGTCATTGACTACCTCATTCAGAAGCATGCATGTCCCGAGGGTTTCCAAATTGCTGGACACATCCAAAAATTCCATGTTTATCATGTTGAACCTCCACAGCTTCCAAGTAAGTGAGAGAAAAATCTCGTTCTCGACCATTAAATGTTTCATTTGACCTCGTAAAAAGTTATTTTCAACTCTTATAATTCAGTTTCGTTATACATTTATGAATGAGTTTGTAATTTACTTTTTTTAAAAAAAAAATTGTTTGCAATAAACTTGAAGTGCTTAAGCTTTTGTGGCTCAATTTATGTTGTGTGAAAGATTATAACGCTTCATAATTATTATAACTTATTTTGTTAATTAACCCACTGTTTTGTTATTGATTATAATTACTTTTGGCTTGGATTTCAGGTTTAGAAAATGTTGTTGATGGGTTGAATAAGAATTATTATCGTACGGAACTGCAAAAGAAGTATGCTAATGTTACGAGCAGCACTATTGTTCAGAGAAAATGCAGAGCCGGAGGTGGATATTGGAAAACGGGAAAGACGGATCCTATCTTCCACGAGGAAGGACATAAAATTGGAAAAAAGGCAAATCTTGAACACTACGATGCCCAAAAGCGGAAGACTCAGTGGCTGATGAAAGAATATCGACTGCTCAACAATTGGTCACAGGTATTTCAATGTAATTCTCCACATAATGCAGACCATATTTTTGTTTTCTTTTTAAAAAATTACCACTTTTATAACTGTTGTACATTTTTGGATGAAATTTATTTGGTTATTTTCCCTTAACCTCGTTACCTTGCATCAAAATGATAATCATGCATTTTTTTTTTTTTTAAATTTTCTATCCTTTGAATTATTATAACTTATATATATATTTATGAAAATTCTCATTAGGGAACATTCCAATTTTTTATGTGGGATCAAAAGTGAGTGTAATATACATTTAACCTCTGATTGTGTTTGACATTTTGAATTAATTAATCGCAGTGGGCAATATGCGTTGTTTATCAATCCAAGTCAAAACGTGAGAACAGAAGAGCAAGAAGTACTTACCAAGGCAGCAACAGTTCAATGCTGAACTCTGGGGAGGAATCTGTTCATTGTACTGGTTCACTTAGCTTCTTCGATGCCTCTGAACAAAATGTGCCCACTTATTTTGAGAACTATCAACGTGTTCCTGCCAGTTCTCATGTACCACAGTCAAATTTAAACCCAGGCAACTGGCCATTAACTGTCCAGAATTTCCCTGCCTCTTGCTCCGACCCACATCCACCTGCCCACTATGATTGCTTTCCCCAACAACCCCCCCCTACCTAGTTCAGAGCTGAACTCTTGGGAGGAATCTGTTCCTTGTACTGGTTCACTTAGCTTCTTCGATGCCTCTGAACAAAATGTGCCCACTTATTTTGAGAACTATCAACGTTTTCCTGCCAGTTCTCATGTACCCCAGTCAAATTTAAACCCAGGCAACTGGCCATTAACTGTCCAGAATTTCCCTGCCTCTCGCTCCGAGCCACATCCACCTGCCCACTATGATTGCTTTCCCCAACAACCCCCCCTACCTAGTTTAGAGCTGAACTCTTGGGAGGAATCTGTTCCTTGTACTGGTTCACTTAGCTTCTTCGATGCCTCTGAACAAAATATGCCCACTTATTTTGAGGAGAACTATCAATTTGTTCCTGCCAGTTCTCATGTACCCCAATCAAATTTAAACCTAGACAACTGGCCACTAACTGTCCAGAATTTCCCTGCCTCTTGCTCCGACCCACATCCACCTGTCCGCTATGATTTTGACCATTGGATCTTCCAGTGTGACGTTTGCTTCAAGCTTATAAAGGATTGCTTTTGCCGCCCGCCACCCCCCCCGGGATGATTCGGAAGACAGGAAGAGTATTATCAATTTTAGTAGGCTAAAACATTGCAAAGATTGTAATACGTTTCTTTATGTAGCTGGATTTTGGGTTTATCAATGAATAATATTTTACTCTTGGGATTTCTGTGGTCCATGTAACTTCAAATTATCAAGTTATTATGAACTGTACAATACACAGATCCTCAAATTCTTCTTTCCTTAATCAGTACAATACACGGATACTAGTGTCCAATGTTCTACGCCAGTGGGATGCTATATAATTTTCCCAAACACGTGGGGGTTTGCGGATAACGCCTTTGTATTTATTCAAATAGTAAGAGATTAAAATCCTATTTTTGCTTTCCACGTGTACGTACACCTCAACGGCTAACCAATTCAAATTCACGCGCCTCTCTTACGCACATGGCCCACATGCCAAGGTTGCTTTTGTAATTTCTCCTGCCTCTCTTCAAACTAAAATAACAAATCCGTAAATTTCCCGCCCAAATTTCCCTCTCTTTCCTCCCATATATAAAACCAAGCAAATCCAGAACCAAATGTTTAATTAATTCTCTTTTTAAGTGTCAAATAATTACAGAAATGCCAGACCTCGCCAATCTCTCTCTCTTCTCATCGCTAGCCCTACCTCCGTGTCCGACTCTCAAGCCGCTCTCTCCCGACTCAGCCGCCGAGTCGCCGCGCGCCGACTTGGCCGTCCAGGCTCTTGCGTTGACCACCAACGGAGACTTCTGTGATGATTGGACCGGAGCTCGAGGCTCGAGGCTTCTAGCAACGGAAAAGGTAGTGCCGTTAAGGTTGTGAGGCGGAGCCACGGCGCAATTGTGCGAGCTAAGAAAGTCAGTAGTTTTGAGGATCACGTGACGGCTTGGATTCGGAGAAAGATGGAATTAGGAGTCTTGCCACCAAAATGTCACCTTCCGTTTCTCAACAGCACGAAGAAAATGGTAATTATTCGGTTAAATAGAAACTTTGAGATTGGTAGGATAAAATCAGCTACCTAAGAACAAGCATAGAAAATTATTTTGAAACCCTCGGTGTTTTTAGTTTGATTCTTTATAATTGTGAGTACTTTTAAGTTTGAGCAGGAGAGAAGTTTAAATTTGTAGATTTCGTAGGCGTGCAAGTGACAATATGTGTGTTAAATTACTTAGGTTAGGAGTGCAGAAATAATGCAGAAGGATAACTCCTTATTTAGGAGTTCCGGAAATTTTAGAAAATAGACCGTTAACCTTTAACCTTTAAACTAAAATTAGCAAAACTTCATAGTAAGGATATTTAGGTGCGGCATTAGCTTGAGAAAGGGCTTTGCAATTCCAATTTCATATAGTGAATCTTTAAAAGTTTGTTAAATAGATCATCTCGTGGAAAGGGAAAGGGTGTAGTGCTCCTTGGCTTCACTGCTATTGTAGTTTGTCAATTTAAGGTTCAATAAAGTGACTGAGGAGATGTGGAAGATTGCTCCATCTTGCCTCGCTTTGTTTTACAGAAAGAGGGAAACAAAATAAAATTTTCAATACTAGGAG